TCCCGCGGGAGGGGGGAGTCACGTTACGTCCCCGCCCGTGGGGAAGCTCGCTGCGGGGCTGTGCCGGCATCCCCGGGCCAGGCATCCCCCGACGGGTGGGGACCAGCTGCCCCGAGCGAAAGCTGTGCCCGCAGGAGTTCCTTGGAGCTTTGCCTCCCGCGGCGGGGAGGGCGGCAAAAAAAAAGAGGCTCGCCCTCGGGAACCGCGCTAGGAGGGGTTTGCGGCACAGTAAGAAATGAGCTTTCTGCCAGCGGTCTGGGTTACCCAAAATCGCCCGCATCTGCGGAGCAGCAAATCTGTTGCTTATTCTCTGAAATTTTTGGAGTGACTCTCTGTAAGTTCAAAGTCTAAGCAAAGATGTTGTCTTCTCACCCTGCTGTGTTTTGCCACGGGGATCCTTTTCCCTGCTCCTGCTGTTGGAAGCCCCGTCGAGTACTTCATAAATAACAAATGCATTTAGGAGAAGCGGTCATTTCGGGGGATGTGTGGATGCAAAACCCGTGAGTGTGTGCAGTAATGTTGCCACCAACTGTTAGCAAAATACTGTGGATATAAATGGCTTGTAAACTCTTAGAGAGTCACCCCTGGGCTGGATGAACTGGGTTTGCATCATGAAGTAATAAAACGCTCAAAGTGCTTTGGGACGTGCAAATTTATAGTTAGATGTGCTTTAAAGTGAGATCTCGCCGAGCAACGCATGGATATGTGGGCTTATCAAAAAGGCATTTTCTGTTAGAGGCTTTTACCAGCCACAGGCTTCCCCAGTAAGTTATTGCAAAAAAAGAAAAGGTGTATTCTAGGAGTGGACCGCAGGATCAAGTTAAAGAAAGTCCTTAGCTGTTTTCCAAAAGAGGTGTAGATGTATAAAGCACTTTTCTACGTCCCTGGTTGTAGAATGTTAAAATAGCACCAAAGTCATGTGGTGCGTGACTGGCACAACTGGTGTTACGATGCTGTAGGCTGCGGACGGAGCAGCCTTGCACTGCTGATTTCGTTACGCTGCTGTGAAATCCTTAACGTGCGCAGCAGCGTGTGTGAGATAACTGAGGTCTAATAGCATATGGCGCTCTAATTCTTTCTTCACTGAATCAGGTGCTTAAAATAGAGCTTTCCTAGTAGGTACCATTCGGGGAAATATACTGAATGGAGAGAAAGAAACATGTAAGTGCTAGAGGAAACCGCTACGTGGGGAAAGACGCTTTTATATTTTAATCAGCCTTTTGTGTGTGTTTGACTTTCCTGATGCTAAGAGCATAACAGCATGCTTACGGCAGGAAAAGACGAGTGTTCACCCTTAGCCAAAGGGAGCTGTGCCCATGCTGTGGGAACGTGACTGATGGCTAAAGGCAAACCCCATTCTTCTGACTGCTGACAGTCAGGGAAGAGCTTTCAGTTCGGGCTTAAATGCTTTGCTGAGCTGAGACCTTTGGTCTTACATCATTCTGTAACTTGCAAGTGACTGAACAAAAGCAGCCCTCTGTCTTGCTTCTTTCCGCCCCTGTGCCCGCTGGGGTCCCCTTCCTCTGCCTCACCTCTTCATTTGTCCTCTGGCTCATGCTGCTACTGTGAAATGCAGCAAGTGGGGCTCTTCCGTCTCCGCTTGTGCCTTTCTGACTTTAAAGACTGACCGCAGGACTCGCCTTGAACGTTCCTCTGGGCCTGAGGGGTGGTCCTGCTGCTCACAGCATCTTTCAGGTTGTCACAATATTTTAAAAGTCACGTATCATGTGAAGGATGCACCACGTGCCTTAGCTGACCAGATGAGGTCTTCATTTCTGCTGGGGACTCCTCGGAGGTCCCCCACGTGGCAGCAGGGCTGGTAGGCAATGTGACACTGTCCAAAGCACTTCCTAGAAACATTTTTGTTTGGTTGATTGGTTTTCTCACCAGTTTTTAAGGGTTCCTGTATCGCACCTACCGTGACACCATCCCGTGCTCTGACCCTGCACCCTCTCTGTTTCCGGAGATCGCTGCTGGTAGTGATCCCACCTGAGTGGTCGGGCTTCCTTGAGCTGCTCTGAGTGGGAGTGGGCTTTCAAGCAGATCAGGATACACGCTCAAAACTCTCCCAGGGCTGAGAAAGAAGCTGCTCCATCAGCTGGCCCGTGGGGACCCCGGGCAGAGGCTGGCCCCGTGGGTTAGGTTGCTGCTGGCTGGGGGTTTGCACTGAGCTCTCGGGGGTCCCGGAGGCAGGGGCACACTCAGCCACACACCCATGTTTGCCAGCGGCTGCCTGTTCAGTCCCTGGAGCCACTTCAAAAGACTGAAGTCCTAGAGCCATGATAAAATCATGATGAAAAATATGGTGATAAAGTTAACCACTTGTCTTTAATAAATTTTATTAGTAGTTCAGACTCCCTTGTAGGCTCAGATAACCACGCTACAGACTTGATGTTGTAGGCTCAGGTTTACTATAATGGTCACAAACCCAGGACTGTACTTAAATACGTTCTGCATAAGCATGTAGTCCAAGGGATGTGCGTAGCAAAGGGAATGCTTATTCCTTTAACTGGAATTAAACTCTTAAGTATTTGCAGGATGAGTCAATAATCCTAGTCAATAAATTCAGAATATTAGTATTAGAATTACTGTGGTCTGCGTGTGTTATACTGGAGGGGGAACATTTTGTATGTGTTTGCACATACACATTTGTATGTACACAATAGTAAGGTGCAGATTAAATACACAGATGCAGATTAAATACACATCATTTACATTTTTGGAAGATTGCAAGAGACATGCCCATAGCTTATTTGCTTCAAAATCTTGAAATATGTAATCTTTGCTCTCCTGCTGGGTTAAAAACCACATCCAAATAGTTAATATTACTTCCCTTACATTCCTTCAGAGGCTTACAAAATATGACTTAATGTATTTTAAAGTAGGGGTTTTTCCCCTACTCTTTTTTTTATTCCTTTTGCTCCAGATCTTTTACTGGTGGTGTGGGAATCTCTTTGATTCCATCTACAGATTATGATTTTACGATATATGTGAATTATAAAGGCGAAGTCAAGGGAGAATTGGGAGGGCAGCAAGGAAATGTTTCAAAAGGGAATCTCTCACCTATGCTGAAATTAGAAACAGTGAGACAAATTCATTCCTGATGTGCATCTGGAAAAGATTTGATCTAAATTTTATTGTAAGAAAATTTTTTTTCTTCTTCTTTTCCTTCATGCTAATATACTTCACAATGATCATGAAATACGTCTTGCTCTGTTGCTCTGGAAATTATTATATTGCTCTGCTATAATCAGGAGGACAGAGCTATGCATGGTATAACTCTCCTGAAGCGTGGGGATGTACCGAACGTGACTCACCCCGGAGGCGCATCTGGAGCTTTATGCCTGTGATGGCATCCAACCAGAAAAGCGATGGGAGAAGATTCATTGTGTGCGAAAAGATTTGGCCTGTTTGGCCTTTTCATTTCTTATAATAGCAAACACTTCTACCCAAAAAGCTGAATGTGGTTTTGATTCAGTTTTATTGTTGGGGTGAAAATATTTGCGTACATTATTGCAGCTTTTGAGCCCTGCCATGCGTGACGGCGTTCTTGGAAATGTGCGTGCAGTTGGTTTTGAATCATTGTCCCAATAGGATCTCTTACGACTTTGCTGTAGGATATAGCCCCGAAGCAGACACTGGTACAATACTTTGCTGCTCCCTCTGATGTCGGTAGCTTCATACCCATGGTCTTGTGAGCCTAGGTAAAAGTTTATGGTATAATGTGCTCAGTGTGGGAGGTGTCTCCCCATTGCTGAAGACTGTGCCTGAGTTCCTGCTTTCCCTTTGGCGAGGGGAGGGTAGCAAGGGGAGTAGTTCCCCCTGCTCAGCAGGTTGGGGAAGAGCCCTCTCAACCACCGTTGTCGCAGTGTGGATCACGGTGCCTGCACAGAGCACACCTGCGGGCTTGTAGATCCTGCTGTAGCAGCAGAGCCCCTGCTTAGCTTGTGGTCCATGATGAGTGAGGCTATGTGGCATTTAATCTTGTAACCACCTTCAATCTTCACGCTCAGAAAGTGGCACTTGCTTTTCCCCTTTCTGAGCATTAAGCGTCCCATCAAAGGTTGTTGCCTAGGCTTATTGTATTGTCTCTGGAGAGAAAGTCACGTCCTGGAAAGATTCACACCACTGTCCCTAGACAGCTGCAGAGATGCTGCTCTTCATTAACTGTAGAGAGGCAACAAATTCTAGATCAGATACCTACATTTTAGACAGCTGAGGTGTAGGTGAGATCAATCTACACCAAACTGTTCAATGGAACGGAAATTAAAATAGTAATGTTATTGTGTCACGTTAATTCTTCATCTTCAGATTGTCTTATGTCCACTTGGAAGTAACAACAGAGGCTTATTGTTGCAATCGACTCTACAAATATATGCAGCTGAAGAAATTTGAAGCCAGAACTTATCACACATCACAGGGGTAAAAAAAACGCAGATCACACACAGGCTCTGTTTAATTATTTTCAGAGGAGACAAGGGAGTAGGAAGCCTCTCTGCGTTTGCTACCTGTCTTCTGTCAGCTGTTTGGGAAATCAGCTTTGTTTGCCATCTGCGTTGTCGTGTTTGTTGCAACACTGGGGGGACAGCTGGGGTCACTGTCTCTGGCAGCATTCATGCTTAACAGCCTGTTCCCTGAAGTTCTTAAATGTGTTTTTCATTTTCTTCCACCAGTTGTAATCATGTGTGCCAGCGGTGACACAATCAGGAACATCATGTTGGCTGCTCATCGGCAAGGAATGACCAACGGGGACTACGCTTTCTTCAATATTGAACTCTTCAACAGCTCGTCATATGGTAATGTTTTTCCTGCCCAAGTATGTTGCAAAGTCTTCTGTAAGCCTGGTAATATTTTTAGATTTGTTGCCCTCAAAATACGCCGCACTGAATCCCAGAATACACCACTGTCTCTCCCTGTCGTTGCAGTTACCTTGCAGGAAAGGACCTCGTGGCTATAGTTGCCTCTGGGTCGATCACAAGATGCCAAATACATTGTAGGCGTTACTTACTTAGTTACTTGTAGGGGAAGCAGCACCAGGTGGAGACATTGCTTACAGCAGCCAGGTGTGGGTACCCCGTGCTGCAGTGTGCGCTCAGCTCTAGGTGGTTTGCACCATCCCTGGCCCTGTGACTGCCAAATCTCAGGGCAGGGGTATTCCTGGCTGCCCGGTGGCTTGCGGTGCAGATGGCTGGGAGAAGACATTAGCAACGGCTGGGGCCGTGGGCAGCTGCAGGGCCTGGGTCTCCAGAAGTCATCTCTCTGCTGGGGGATCCACATATCTAATTTGTTTCAGCTTTTGATCAGAAACTGCATCTGCAAAAATATTCAGTGGTGGTGTGCTGAAGGGAAAGCACTGGCTGGGACATGGACGGTTCAAATAGACTAGAGCAGGGTGGATAACGGTGGCTGATTCTACCCCTAAGTAAGAAGGATCAGATTTGTCAAATTAAAACATGACTGTAAAATGTAAATTAAATACATTTGCTTTCTGAAATATGCCTACTTTCAGTTGCATTTGATAATATGGCAGTGCAGAGCAGGGATTAAACCTGCTCTCAGCTGCTATAGCTGTCTCAGTTAAATTCAAGGTAATACTGGAGCAACACATTTGCTGAGTTTAAACAACGTCAGATGGCTGAAGCTGAGGCAAGTTCCTGCCTGGGAACTAGGTTTTGTTGAAGTGTCAACACTCTTTTTGAAAGGAGCAGCCTCTTTTGCAGGTGCAGAGAAAATAATTTCCCCCCTGCAGGCTGCCTTAACTAATCCACTACAGTAACAAATTCATTTAAAATTGAAAACCAAGTAGGAGTTGAGAAAGAAGGAAAACTTTTTTTTTTTTTCTTTCAAGCCTCAAAAAGCTGATGAGCAGGAACAATTGAATTCACGAAAGGACAATGTATTTTGTTTAATAAATCAGTTAATTGTAAGTTAAATTCTTCTGCATAAACTTTTTGTTATCTGTCTACCACCTCTGAGATTATTTTTATAATAAACAGAGATATTTGTTGAAAAGCTTTATAATAAACATAGATAGAGATATATACAGGAGTACAGATACCGCTACATGTATCTTCAAGGTTAGCTAAAGAAGTTTTGCCAGTAATAGGGAAATCACTTAAATAACTAGAAGATAAAGTGGCAGAACAAGATCAAAGCCAATGGTGTGAATCAAGGTTTTCTTTTTCTTGAGTTAAATTTGGAGTGACTTCATCCCTTCATCCCAAGCAAAACCATTTGGCATTGCAGCCTTAAGCAGGACCAGGGTAAAAAGCTGAAGGTCTACCCATGTCAGCAATCACAAAACCCTGAAGTTTCAGCCCTTCTGTAGACCATGGGAGCTTCACAGGGTTGAATTTAATAGAAACCACTGATCAAATAACCCCTCTGGCTGCCGGCGGTGGCTCGTTACCCCTGCACTGCTGCTGCATTTCATCTCACAGAATAGAAATGAGTCAGAAGTGATTCATCTGGCCGTGGGTACAAGTCTGCATGTCAGCTGGGCTCCCGTTGGAGTCACAGGAGAGAAGCAGGCACCCCTGGACAGCGATTCACCTCACATGTAAGTGTCCAAAATGGCTCAGATGAATCATCCCCTACTGATGGTTTCCTTGGTTTGGCTGAAATGAGCGCACGGTGACTATCTGGGAAGCGCTGAAGCTGGCTTGTGGAGTTGGTACCCAACGTTCTCCTTGAGCAGGGGATGCTCGTGTAAGAGCAGCGGCTGCAGGAGACGGGCGGCTGCGTTTGTGATGGTTTTGCTTTCCAGGATGGTATTTGCTAGGAGATACCGGTGGCTGCAGGAGGCAGTGTTGCAATCCCCAGGCTCAGGGCCCGGCCCCAGGGGTGACCCTGGCATCGCAGCTGATGTGGGGTGGGTGTCCCCAGTGATGCAGCCCCCAGTAGATGGCACTTTGTTCAGCCGTGCACAGGGCAGTGCTGTGCCACCCTGGCGTGGGTCCTCCATGCAGCACGGTAATGGGGGCAATACCCGTTTGCCCTGCGGTCGTGTGGGAGACTCAGCACCATCCTCCTCTGCGTCACAGGTAGTCCAGTCTTCTTGTAGCTTTTCCAAGGGATTAATGAAAACTGTCTGTCTTCTGATGCAGTGTAGTTAGAATGTGGCATTTCCTGGCATTTCTAAGTAATAATTCTTTTAAACCAGTTTTTCTGTTTCTTTTTGGATATGTTTCCCATGAAGAGCGAAATGACTGTGCATCAGAAGCTGATTTTTGTGCAGATGGTCATCACATGTGGAAAGCAAGCATAAAAGAGAAATATAGAGAAATTCTCCCGGAATTCCGTGTTCCCAGAGCCTGGAGATACTAGATTTTGTACCTTATAAAACGTACAAATTCTAAGAGTGGGTGTGATTGGCAAATTGGCACATTGCCTTTAAGTTCAGATGACCATATTGCAGTTTGTTGTTGCCCTCTGTTCTGAATATTTTTAATTTTTCAGAAGAGCAGGCGTATTAAACGCCAAGGCTGCAATAATTGCACATAAGTACTGTGGCAAGACGACCTCCCACAAAATAATCCATGAAGGATTTTAAATATGTAAATTATTCGAGGAACGCGGTTATGCAAGTGTACCTTCCCTGCTCCCAGGGTCAGGATTTTTAAAAATAAATATGTGTAGTGTCCAGGATAGAAACTTACTCACATTCTACCAGCACTACCAGGTTTTTTTTAATATAATCTCACTCTTTTTAGCCATCTCCATTTGTAAATGCAAAGCTATATCTATGCAAAGCTACAGCCCACTGTGCTGTAGTCTCTGCCGTACTTCTTGAATACTTCGCCTCTGAAATGCAGGTACCCAGCTGGGGCAGAGGTTTTCCAGCTTCGAGACTCCGGCAGGGCTTGTATCTTCCTGTGGGGAAGTGAGCAAGACGTGCTAGCTTACAATTGCCAGATGCGCATTGCTTTCATTTTGAAAGCAGCAACAAGGAGAGGGTGCAGGCATTGAAGGGAAGAGTGCTGCCTCTGAGAGCAAAATCAGATGGTGGGATGTTGGTTGCTCTCCAGTGTTTCCATCAAATCCGATGAATAGGGTCCTGGTGTAAGTCATTTTGACCAGTTAAACTTTGTATTGGGGAAGAAATCCCTAAATCAAGGCAGACGTATCTACAGCTTCTTCATAAAAGAATGAAGTAACTGCCAAAAAAAAAAAAAAAAAAAAAAAAAAAGAAGAAAAATTAAGAATTAGCAAGGTTCATGAAGTTTATAAAAATTGCAGTCCTAGCCAGTGCTGAGCTCTGGTAAATAAGACTTTCCTGAGGTGGAAAAGAGAGGTAAAAGGGCTCAGGTGTGGTCCTGTGCCTCCTGCCCTGTGCTGGGAGTGACGGGAGCTGCCAAAAGCAGCACGAGGAAAGACTTGTCCTCTGGAGAAGTGCACGTCCTTCATTCCTTCCCCTGTGGTCTCTGAGGAAGGAGAGCAATTCTCCAACTACATTTATTGTCAAAAACAAAGAAGAAAAAAAAAAAGTCCTAGCAGCAGTGCCGGGATACTGGGAGGACAAAACACAGGCTCTGTATTCACCTACTTCGGGGGGACCGGAGTGGTCTTGTCCATGAATTTGCTCTTGCAGGCATGTGATGCAGCTGGTAGTGCCGCGCAAGGAGCACCGTGGGTTTGGTGCCTGGACTCCATCTCCATTAGCATCTCCATTCCCAAACCACTTGCTTCTCTTGTCCAAATGGCACCGTGATCCTCAACCCAAGCAGAGCAGCCGCATCCTCTCTCGTCTCAGGGTCCCGCGTGCCTCCTTGAGAGCTTAGCGTTAGTCTTCGTCTTGCTCATTTAACCGTGATGGGGTTTGTTGCTATTGTTCGAAAAATAAAATGACTGTCTAGCTTTTAATTATTTGTAAGCATTTAAAGGCACACTGCTGAGGGCTACCACTGTTCCTTCTAGGTCTCTTTTGTTTATCATTTACATAGAATAGCACAAAACCTGGTCCAGGGCAGTGTGAAGCTTTCCACTGCTCTCGTGAAGCTTTGGATCAGGGTCTCCAGACATGCTAAGATGAGGCCCTGTTAGGCGCGAGGGCTCCTCTGCTAATTAACCAGTCAGCTATCCTGGTTTTTAAAAATCTGATTACTTTACTGGTGGTCTGAGTTAAATCATTCCCCTGCTGTGACACAAAACACATGTAAATACAGCATAGGCGCAGGGTCCCATTTTATTTCTAAGTGTTTCTTTTTCACTAAGAGCAGGGCTGGTCTAGCAGGCACTGCACACATGGTTTTCTCCTTGACCACAGTGGGAGAGCTGTGGGAGAAGTAGCTGCACCATCTGCCTCCCATTCGAGGTGATGATCATACTATTGACTTTACTGGTGCCTTTCTGACTGTCCAAGAGTGTCGCTGGTGGGGTGTTGTATAACAAAAACTTTGTGGTCGGATCCTCCCTCACTTGTTCTAACTTAAATATCTCTGCGTTCAAGATCTGGCACACGTTTTTTGCTCTGAGATGTCTTCTCACGCTTAGGCTTCATCCCACCCTTTAAAAATAAGCAAGCACAGCATGGGAGTAAAGTTGTCTTTCTGTTTGCACATTTACTTCCCACCAGCCGTTCCTCCCTGCCTGGTTTCCTGCACATCTTGGAGCAGGTTCAGTTCTCCCTTGTACTCTGCCATCTCCCCAAGGTGCAGGAGAGGGGACTTCTGGGTGGAAAAAAGAAGGCAATTCTGTAATGGTACCTAATTTGGAGTTGGAAATATGCTTGTTTTCCCCTTAGGAAATGGCTCTTGGAGAAGAGGAGACAAACATGACCTTGAAGCCAAGAAGGCATACTCGTTTCTCCAAACCGTCACTCTGCTGAGGACCGTGAAGCCTGAGTTTGAGAAGTTTTCCCTGGAGGTAAAAAGTTCTGTTCAGAAGCAAGGTCTGCACGAGGATGACTACGTAAGTACTTGATGACAGGCTTCAGGTCTTAGCGTCTTCAAAAACACGCACCTAATTAAAGGAAAAGTAGCAGTGACCCCTTCTCAGGACAGAATCGCCTTGGTTCAGTCGTAAAAGCCCACTGTTGCCTATATAATCTCTTTTCCTTTTTTTTTTTTTTTTTTTGTGGATGATGCAAATAGCAGCAAGAATAGACTTGGTCTAGGTGCACTAGGTCTGTGCACCACCATCCATGAGCAGTTGTCCTGTGCTTGTCCCCTTGTTCATCAGCAGGAGGGCTGGGGCAAAGCAGATTGCCAGGTCTCTCTCCCTCTTCCACCAATCACTTGTCTTTTTTTCACAGGCAAAGAATTGCATTCTTCGTCTTTGTTTGCTCCCAATACTTTTTTTTGGTAGAATCAAATCTCAGAAAGTTACACTCTCTGTATTGCATCTGATGAAGTTTTTCTTGATGCAAGTGAGAAAAGAGGTCTTATTCCCCAACTAACCATATTTAGGTTGTTGCTGTTGTTTATTTTAAACTGTCTAAAATATCACTGTAGTCCTTGCAAGTTGTTTTAAACCTAGGGGAGTGCCACTGTCCTCCAGAGATGGATATGGGAGAGTATGTATTTTTTTAATTTCTCAAAATGTAGGAGGAAGGTGCCTCTGAAAATTGCTTTTGAGCTACCGCAAAGCTAGTTCATTAGGGATTTTCATAGAAAAGTGTTCTGTGAAAGCAAGTATGTATAGCATACCTATAGGGATTTCTTCGTGCTGATAGAAGTACTTCCTGGACAGTCAGCCTTCCAAATACGCTTAGAAAGAAAAGATGCTTGAAGAGAGCTTGGTCAGTCTTTAGCTGCAGGAAACGAGAAGTGTAATACGAACAATTCCATAGGAAAAGTGACTATCAAGAAAAACATAAATCTCTTGCAGTTAAGAGCGTGAGACAAAACTTCTTTTGCTATCATCGCTATACATGCCTACAAATAGAGGAATAATGAACCCATAAAGACAGAAGAAATTTTGGCTTCATAGACTAAGGCAGTATATTACGTTGTTTTTCAAGCAAATTCAAATGTTGCTGTGAAGTGCCCTCTGTGAAATCAAGGTGCTGCAGCAAGGGTAAATTTGCTTGAAAGCTGTTATCTCGGGTGAAGGGAAAAGAACTGGTGCATCCAGAGCTTTAACTTTAAAGGAGGGTTTGGGGGAATTTGTGCCCAAAACTCAAGAAAGCAACTCAAACCCCTCATTGGCCAGCTCCCACTTAGGCACCTACCTCAGCTCTTTGTTTAAGCATTGTGTGTTCCCCGGGTGGAGGCATCGTCTTTAGTTCAAAGCACAGGCAGAGGAACTTGAAGGTTGTGTAAATAAATGACTTTTCCTGCAGTTTATTACATAATCTCATTTGTCTTCAGAAAACCTGTGCTTCTTAGAATTTGCATGTCTTTCGTTTAAATATTTTATGTAAATGAAATGTTGAATCATATCAGTGGCTTGTATTTTTCCCAAGAAACTTTCAAAGTCTAGGCAGGCAGAAATAGTCTTTTGTTGGTGTTCTTTGCCTCGGGTTAGTAGAGAAACCCCAACTGCCAAGTTCAAGGTACTGCTCTCTGACGAACCTGCTAAATGAGTTTTGAACAAGGCATGGGACTGTAATTTGTGCTGTTCCTCCCTTTTCCCTCTGTGTGCCCTTTTGCAGGTGTCACTTAGCAAGATGGTTGGTGAGAAATGTGATTTTGAATATTAAAGATCCAGTCATCCCCAGTTTTGTGGCTTTTCTAGTGTGACATTTCAGTGTTAAACTGCGGAGAGCTCAGGATGCTGTCTGTGGGCCGTTTGGAGGCGGGCAAGGGGGTGATTTGCTGTTATTTAGGATGGAGGCCCGCTGCAAACCCTATGCAAGTTCAGCGTTGATAGACGCTGGATAGATTCAAGCCCAGTTATGGTCAAGCAGAATTGGATCCATGAAAGAGCAAATCCCCCTGTGCCAGCAGGGGGGAGATTTTGCAAGCTAATGTGTTCGTTGGGGAGACTCCTTGAACAGCTGTGTACCCGTGGCCAGAAGTCCTCTCTTCTCTTTCCTCACACCACGGTTGCTTGTGCAATCAGACGTTCAGGCTGGCAGTGCTCCTGGCTGTCCCAGGGCAGCTGCGCGGGTGCCTGGCTCCCTACGCCTTGTCCTTGACCTTCTTCTGCCTGGCTCTGAGGGCTGCCTCTTCCTATATCGCATTCCCACCTGTGAGCCAGAGCTTTTCATCCTGTTCCAAGCACTCCATCACCCAAAACAGTCAGCCTTTGCTCGGGCCGGGCAGTGGCATGGGGCCGCTCCTGCTGCTGCTGCTCCTCTCCTGCTCCTCTTCCTGCTCTTCCCTTCCCACCTGGCTTTCTGCACTCTTCCCAACCTCTTCTTCTCGGGGCAGAGGGGGGACTTGTGATCTACCTACCATAGCCTCCTGCCATTTGAAGCATCAATCCTTGACTCACGGGAAGCTCGTGGTGGAGGCCGTAGGGATCTGGGGCTCCTTGTGGAGGAGCTACAGATCCTGGCTATGGGGGAGGGAGTTTGGTTTCAAATGCAGCGTGTCCTGGTATTACATGAATGCTTAACTTACACAGATCTCAGCAGAGCCTCCCCTACCTGCTTTCTCACAGCGTCCTAACCCAGTGGGAAGATAAAACTTGTTTAAGAGGGGTAGCCTTGGGTTGAGCATAGCAAAAAACATTAGCTGTGTTACTTCCTTAACAGTGTGTGAATTCTAACTATCTGGTTTGCTTTTCATCGCTCACGGTGAATTTTACATTTCCGCACTTTGGACAGTGGGAAAGAGATGCTTCATATTCCCTTAACTGATTGTCCTGCTACCGTGTTCAGAGGAGAAACATTTTGGGGCAGCCTTCAGTCTGAAGAAAAATACCCATTTTAGAAACTAACGGGAAAAAATAAAAAGCCAAACTGCGGGCCAGTTCCTTCCTCTCTGAGAGATATGTGGCTAGTGGGCACCTCATTAACGGTGCTTCTCTTGGCAGCATGGGAAAAAAGTGGCAATGTTGGCCTGGCGGCATGCTAAGCAAGGCTGTGTCCTCCAAGGGAAGCTTGGGAGGGAGAGGTCCTTCAGCTGCGTGGGTGGGAAGCGACAGGGATGGATTTTCTCTGCTGGATTTTGCTCCTGAAAACAAAAACTCTGGGGAAAGATAGTTGGTGGTACAGTCCATCTCAAGTCTTATCCACGGGTGTTGAAATAGAATCCTCATCCTTTTCTGCAAGCCGTGTCCCAAGAGAATGAACTCAGGGAGGTTTGGATTTGAAGCATTCAGTGTTTCTGCTTCTCTGTGTGGATTTTTCTGGTGTCATGGGAAAACGGGGGCCTGGGTCCGTGGTCTAAATTATCTCGCAGTGATCCTAACTCAAACAAAAGTTGTTATCACTGCCATTTTGTCCTGGCCTCTTGCCAGCACTATTCCTAAAGGCATTATTATCTACCAAAAAAGAATATCATAAAAATGGAAAATAGCAGATGACAAAAGGAAAGATAAGGGAGACAGAAAGGGCAAAGTCCTAAAGCAGCAGCTGTCCAATTGCCAGACTGGAGAACACATACAGCCCGTGGAGGAGGAACAGGTCAAAGAGTGTTGGCCATCTTCGTCTCCAGATGTGAAATCACACAGAAGAGAGAAAAACTCTCTGTGTTATGGGTATGTCTTTCCCAGGTCAGAAACTGCTCTTGTTTCTGCATGGGTGCTATAGGGAAGGTAGAAGAGCCTGCGCCTTCTGAGTGAGCAGGAAAGTGTGGAAAAGGCAATTTCTCTGACTTCTCTAGGAATCTCGCTTGTGAAGAAAAAAGCTTCGTTAAGCACCTTCTAACTAAATGGCATAGAAGATGAGGGTGGCAGAGAGGTTCTGAGAAAGCATCTTAAAAATATTTGGGTAGGTAATAATTGCACAGGATGGGGCTAAAAATGCTGATGTTCCCTGCCTGCAATGTCCCATTGCAACATCGCGTTGCAACAGCTGCCTGAGGATCAGCACAGCCTGTTAGCAAATACCATTAGTTTGCTTGGGCACCACTTTCAGCCATTACTGTCATGTTAATGTAACCCGAAGAATGTGGGCTGAAGCATCAGATCTGTTCAGCCCTCGTTTCAGCATTCAATGGTGTCATGATTTTTTTTCAAGAAACATCCTGTAGTTCTGTAGAAAGCTTGACCATTTTATTTCGTGCCTACCTGGAGACCGACTTCTCTGATAAAAGAGCCAAAAAAAGAGGAATTTTTTCAAAATCCATTCAAATTTGGGGTTCAGGCATAAGGACAGTAGAATCACTTTAATGCTATTACGCAAATTATAGCAGTTTTCTCACTTCTGTAATGTTAATGCGTTACCAAGACATTAACAGCAATGTGTCCTGGTTGAGATCAGTTGAGATCCTTGGTTTAATTGCAAAATACAGGACAAGCTTTGCTTGCAGACTTGGAGCCTAGGTGAGGCAGACAGCAATGGGAATTGCATGCATTTACTTGAAGGAAGAATTTGAAACTGTCTCTGAATTGGTGTGCGAATAACTCCCAACAGATACTCTAGTTAAAAATGTTTATGAATAAATAGCGTGTCAGTTAAAGTATATGCATAAGCCATTTTTATTAAATAATGCCGAACACTTAATGAATTGGCGGTAGGCGGCAGTTTGGAAGCTCTTAATGCACCTTCTGTTCCTGACTCAGGCCTAGGATTCAATAAATGCTTTTTTTATGTCCAGCCCAGTATTCTGAGCTGGGATGATTTTACAGCCCGGGATATTTGCTCTTCTGAGGTTACAGACCACCCATGGCTTGTTTTTTCTTCTCATTTAAAAGCTGAAAATGTAACTAATTAAACAAATGTTTCTGCTGTGTTAACTACATGACAGCATTGTTCACGAGGTGGATGCGTGGGTTTTATCCTATCCACAGCCCTTTTCGCACCGAAAATGAGCAGCAGGAGGAGAGAACTGGAGTCCAATTTGCCTGTAAAGTAATCT